AATTAATTCGACTTAATATTTAAAAATAGAACAATTTATTATTGGTTGAAAATGTTTACTGTGGCATAGCATTTTTTAATCATTATTTACTCAAAATCAATTTCTTATCCCATAAGGTGATTTTAATAGCTTAGCCCCCATGTAATAAATACGATACGTTTATATATGAAATATAAACTCAAACCTTTAGCACTTTTTTTGCTCTGCAATGACAACAATGATAAAACGTTAATTGATAGTATTTTTATTTGTAATGCTGAAGTGCTAGTCAATGACATTTTTGTTAGCTAATATAAAATATAATTAATACATTAAATTCAATTTAATATAATGATAAGAGTATCAAATGAAATAATAAAACTTACCATTATTGATTTATGAGGTATTGATTTTTTGATAGTATTGATAGTAATATTAAGCGTAATAGTAGTATTGAGCTTGATATTAGGCTTCTTAGTGATGACAGTGAGTTTGGTGAATGTGGAAATGATGGTAGGTTTAGTAGATATGAAAATAGTGGTAGGTTTAACAGATATGAAAATAGTGGTAAGTTTGGTAGATGTAAAGATGGTGGTAGGTTCATCAGCAACAAAAGATGTCAATTTATTATTAGAAAACAAATTGATATTTTTGATATGATTTTTTTAATGTTAGTAGAGTTACTTTTATGTTATCTTCAGATACTTATTATTATTAATATGTATTAATTAGTGTATTTGTTAAAGATTAAATAAAATAAAGTAAAATTATCTTATACTATCTTCTAATATCTAGAAAATTATAATATATAAATATTAATAAAATTAAATAAATGTATATAACATAAATAACGAAAATAATACAAATATAATTACATTTTTATTCAAACATTTTGATTTTCTAACTGGCAGATATTTTAAAGAGGATGTATCAAGAGTAAAATTATTTTAGCTATTGCTCATTTTTGGATTATTACTTGAAAATTTGATTTTTTTTTCTAGTAAAAGGATGATGCATAGAATAAGTTATTTGTTCTTGTTTTAAGTATTTTTTATTAATTTTAAAAACGTAATTTATTATCATAAAATAACATCATTAATAAGCACATCAATTTCATCTAAAAATACCATATTTCTGTGTAATTTTTATTACAGACTTGGAAAAAAAATTATCTATCTTGATTTATCCATTTAGTTCAACATTTAGAATCAATTAATATGGTATTAGTTAACCTTAATCACAGGAAATATCATACTGGCTCATTACGATGCTATACCAGTTAAATGTAATGCAAATAATAATACATTGATCCTATTCGTAGAATCGCTTAAAAAAAAGTTCAAGTCTTTGGTCATTGATAAATACTTGAATTTAATTATAAAAATTAAAAACTGCGTTGGTTATCATAAAATTAAAAATTGCATTAATAAACATGAAATTAAAAATTAATATATTAATTTGTTTATACTTACTACTATAGAAATTATATTTTATATTATAATGCATTATAAATCAAATTATATTTCTAGTAAAATTATGATTTCATATTCTATTGTTACTTAATGCCGTTTTATAATTTTTAAATGATCTATCATTTATTTGACATCATCTCTACTATTTTTATCATATACAACTAATTAAATAAAAAAAATTAAAAATTTGAAAATTTTAATATTTTACTTTTAAATATATTATTATATTAAAATATTTATAAAAATGCAACACATATGTTCACATTACAGAAAAACTTTTTCTCATCATTCTTCTTTGAGAAATCACATTAAAATTTATGATGGTATAATCAATAAAATTCTAAAAGAAATCGTTGAAGAAGATATATAACAAACAAGTGAAAAAGAAATACAAAATGACCTAATAGAAAGTGATAATGATAATGTGATGGATTATGAAGACCAAGAGATTATTAATATTAAAGAAAAAAGAGAAGAGAAGGGAGAAGAAGAGTTGCTTAATTATAATGAAGAGTTGATTAATGTTAAAGAAGAGAATGAAGCTAATATGGAAGAATATGTAGAAGAAGAAGAGTTAGTTAACCCTAATGAAGACATTGAAGAAGAGGAAGAAGAAAAGTTAATTAATGATGTTCAAGTAAAATTTTCATTAATTAAACTATTATATATGTATAATAATAGTATATCAGTAATACAAAAAGTTTGATAATCAACGCTATTTATTTAAATTAACTATTTAAATTTATATTAAATATAAAAAGCATATATTAATTAATGTTGAATCTACATATGTCTTTGAATCTTTCTATACTAGTGGTTTAATAACGGATAGGCCTAAGTTACCAAGTGAAGAGTTTGGAAATTTTATGACATTACTTGCAAAGTAGAATTTATCTAATGCATGTTGTAGTGATATACTTAAATTTTCATGTAAAATTTGCCATGATGATGTAAGATTACTAACTTCTGCAAAGACAGGCCATCAATTAATAAATCAAATAAATATATCACATATTTCATTTAATAAGATATTCATCATGATATATGATAAAACAATATATTATCTTCATTATTGTCAAATTTTTGACACTGTAAAGGAACTGTTAAGCAATCAGAAAATATATAGCAATTATACCTTTAAATTTACACCATTGTATCATAACGAACAGAGAGTTTACCATAAGCAATATAATAGTAAGTGATGGGAAAGTGTACAAGAGTCACTTTCTGAAAAAGCAAAGGTTTTATCTATCATCTTATATTCTGATGCGATAACTTGTGACTATTTGGGCAAGTCTAGTGAGCATCCAATTTATTTGATATTAGGTAACATAATTAGTTAGCTTAGAAATAAACCGAATGCCAAAGTTCTACTAGGTTATCTTCCAATTTTGAAAGCAAAATCTATCTTTCAAAAAAGATCTAAAGGCTTCAAATTAGCAAAATGTACCTTTTATCAATACACTTTAGATATATTAATATATCCATTACTTGATTATAAAGAAAATAGATTTGATCTTTAAATGGATAATGATATACTATAGTGTTATCTGTTTATTTCTATAATATTAGGAGATCTCCCAAAAAATGTTGTGATGACTTTAATATTAAATTCAATTAATTGTAAACATCTATGTCACAAATTTTTAGTAGAAGGTGATAATTTAAACAATGTAAAATTATCAGATGACTAAATTATTTTTAGAATACAGTCAACTCTTGTTATAACGAACTCTATGTCCTAGAACTCAACTTCGCTATAAGGCTATAGTGAAAATTTTAAGAAATTTGATTGGTCAATTCGCTATAACAAGAGTATTTTTATTATATTTGTTTAAAAAATTCGTTATATCAAGAGTTCGCTATATCAAGAGTTGACTGTACAAATATAAATTTTAATCATGATGAAACCATTTTGTCACATAATATATATATGCACTAATAAAATTACAAGATTTTTTTATCACGTGATAAATGATCGATATCTTAAATTTAGTCGCTTAAAAAATTTTTGATTGGGACTAAATTGTATGCACTGTATGATTTAATTTTGCTGCTGCTTGTAGATGAGATCTAAAATAGATTACTATTGATTTTGTATTATTAACTATAGCTTTAATTTCATTAAAACATAAAATATCTTTAATTAAAAGATTAATAATATAAGAATTACACCTAAGACAAACAATATTAGAATATTTTTCTTCAATATTTCTCAATGCTGCTTTCATTATAGTATTTATATCTATAATAATTGCTGAAAACTTTTGGATATCAATAATATCCATTTGTTAAATTATTTGATCTGCAATCTATTCTACTGTATAAAATTCTTCACCTGAAAAAGTTGCATCAAAAAAAATGGTTTTGGAGTACAAATAACAAAATTATGTACTAAATCTCTATTAATATTAGACCAGCTATCAGAAACTATACAAAGAGTTGTTGCTTTTGAAATTTATTCATCTACTTACAGTAGCGGTCATAAGTATCTGACTACCTCTAACTTCAGCTACAAGTAAGTAAATTCAAAAATTTTTTTTTATTTAAAAAATACATAACCAACTAACTAAAATTAATATATTGT